GGAGGCCCCAAGGGACCCCATGCGCCCATACGATTCATGGGATTGCATTAGGAGGCGTCCAGAAGACCCCAACTTGTATTGTTTTTTTATAACGGGAGGGTTTGGATGGGCGGGCGCGGGGTGTGCGCCGCATCCCATTCCTGCCAAGCATTTTGCGACGTGGACGACAGGACGTCCATGCTGAGAGGAAAAACGTTGGTGCGCGGCGCCGAGGCGAGAGCGACATGTCACCCCTTCGCGCGGGGTGTGCGCCGCGTCCCATTCCTGCCACGCATTTTGCGACGTGACGACAGCACGACCATGTTGACAAGAAAAACAAAAACTGTGTATTGTCTTTTGCAGATTCGAATGGGACGGATTGGATGGGCGGGCGCGGGGTGTGCGCCGCGTCCCATTCCTGCCATGCATTTTGCGACGTGGACGACAGGACGTCCATGCGACGGTGCCAATGACGGCGACGACTCTAGAAGGATTTGAGCATGCGCTCGCGGCGACGCGCGCGCATGTCGCCCGCGTGGTATTTTTTGCACAGGATTCGCGGCCTGGGTGCATGACAGAGCATCGCGAGTGCACCGCGCGATGACGTGAAATCGCTGGATTTGACAGAATTCTTAAGATTCCTATGGTTTTCCTATGATTTCAGCAAGAGAGCCCGGGCAGGAAATTTGTAGAATTTTTGTGAAAAAGCATTGGGTTTTTGATGTTTTTATGTTGAAATGCTTGCAAACACACGGTGTTCGGTAGGATTCTGACATGAACGCGCGCGTGTGCTCTTTGTGGTATTTTTTGCAATGGATTATCGCCGTGGACGACAGGACGTCCATGTCGAGAGGAAAAAATAAGAAAAATGTTGATTTTGTATTGTTTTTTACAGGTTAGGATGGGACCACCCGGATGGGCCCCTATCTGCCGGCCTGAGGGGGGAGTAGGAGTATATTCTAATAAGGAATAAGGATAGGAGTAGTAGTAGTAGTAGTAGTAGTAGTAGTAGTAGTAGTAGTAGTAGTAGTAGTAGTAGTAGTAGTAGTAGTAGTAGTAGTAGTAGTAGTAGTAGTAGTAGTAGTAGTAGTAGTAGTAGTAGTAGTAGTAGTAGTAGTAGTAGTAGTAGTAGTAGTAGTAGTAGTAGTAGTAGTAGTAGTAGTAGTAGTAGTAGTAGTAGTAGTAGTAGTAGTAGTAGTAGTAGTAGTAGTAGTAGTAGTAGTTGTAGTAGTAGTAGTAGTAGTAGTAGTAGTAGTAGTAGTAGTAGTAGTAGTAGTAGTAGTAGTAGTAGTAGTAGTAGTAGTAGTAGTAGTAGTAGTAGTAGTAGTAGTAGTAGTAGTAGTAGTAGTAGTAGTAGTAGTAGGTAGTAGTAGTAGTAGTAGTAGTAGTAGTAGTAGTAGTAGTAGTAGTAGTAGGTAGTAGTAGTAGTAGTAGTAGTAGTAGTAGTAGTAGTAGTAGTAGTCGTCGTAGTCGTAGTCGTAGTCGTAGTCGTAGTCGAGTCGTAGTCGTAGTCGTAGTAGTAGTCGTAGTCGTAGTCGTAGTCGTAGTCGTAGTAGTAGTAGTAGTAGTAGTAGTAAGTAGTAGTAGTAGTAGTAGGCGTAGTAGTAGTTGTAGTAGTAGTAGTAGTAGTAGTCGTAGTAGTAGTACGTAGTAGTCGTAGTAGGTAGTAGTAGTAGTATAGTTCCAGTCGTAGTCGTAGTAGTCAGTAGTTAGTAGTAGTAGTAGTAGTAGTAGTAGTAGTAGTATAGTAGTAGTAGTAGTTAAAGTAGTAATATCAGTAGTCGTAGTAGTAGTGTAGTAGTAGTATATAGTAGTAGTAGTAGTAGTAGTAGTATAGTAGTAGTAGTAGTAGTAGTAGTAGTAGTAGTAGTAGTTAGTAGTAGTAGTAGTGGTAGTAGTAGTAGTAGTTGTAGTAGTAGTAGTTGTAGTAGTAGTAGTAGTAGCAGCAGTAGTAGTAGTAGTAGCAGCAGCAGTAGTAGTAGCAGTACTCGTATTTGTAGTAGTCATAGTCATGGTCGTAATACTCACAAGATGAAGAATAGTATCAGCATGGCATGATTAATGATAACAATAAGACTAAGACACAACAGCATAAGAAGAAGTCTGGGTCTCCGAGATTGGGTCCGATTAGGTCTGCTTCACAATCTCTTTTGTCGTTCGGCCCGTGGTGCGAAGGGCACGCGCGCGCGCTAGCAGGGTCCCGGGTGTGGATGTTGCGACGGGAAGAACAGCTCGGGGGCTGCTGGCGGCCTGAATCATGCCAGTCCAGGCCTCCCAGATGGGGCTGGAGAAGGTGGGGTCGGAGGATCGCGCCGCGACGCCGATGCATCGGCGGCGCGGCTCGATGTGAGGACCAATTCTTCCGCACGCCGACGTCGCCAATGCGTCGCCGACGTCTCCGACGAGTGGCCGATGCAAGCCGGTGCATCGGCGACGCAGTGGTGATGCGTTGGCGATGCGGCGCAATCCTTCGACCTCATCTATGCGGACCCCATCGAAGGAGGAGGAGGAGGAGGAGGAGGAGGAGGAGGAGGAGGAGGAGGAGGAGGAGGAGGAGGAGGAGGAGAGGAGGAGGAGGAGGAGGAGGGAGGAGGAGGAGGAGAGAGGAGGGGAGGAGGAGGAGGAGGAGGAGGAGGAGGAGGAGGAGATCCTGAGATCCCGGCGCCGCATTTGTTCTCGCAGCTGGCGTTTCCCCCTTGGTCTCGGGCCCCGGGGGCCCTCGCGGATCGATGGCGCGGAAGCGGCGCAGACGGACGGGGTCTGGGGCTCCGGCCGTGATATTTTGCGAGGTTGCGTTTTTGCTCGCAGCGTCGGGTCTGAGGGGGAAGAGGGACGGGGGAGGGAGGAGTGAGGGAGGGTGGGAGGCGAGGAGGGAGGAGGGAGGCGAGGAGGGAGGAGGGAGGGAGGAAGGGGGGAGGGAGGAGGGAGAGGAGGAGGGAGGGGGAGGAGGGAGGGGAGGAAGGGAGGAGGGGGGAGGGAGGGAGGAGGGGAGGGAGGAGGGAGGGAGGGGAGGAGGCCAGGAGGGGACGGGGGAGGGGGAGCCCGCCCCTTCCCGGGAGGCCCTGGGCGCCGCCGAGAGTGGGCGGGCCTTCTCAGAAGGCTCGGAAGGCCTCGGACCCTCTGGGGAAGGTTCCTGGGCCTCCCCCGGCGACGCAGGGAACCTCCTGGACAGCTGGAAGACAGCACACCAGTCGGGGAAACGCAAGACCCGAGTAAGCCAGAATTCGGGTTTGCCGACTTTTTTTGACGAGCACGTCCTGGATTTTGACGGTCCAGTTTTCGTGGGAGTCTGCAGCGGGAGCTCGCGTCAAATTTCAGATTGGGCCTCGTCATTTTTATGATGGCCCCGTCGGGCCAACCCGAGTCCCCCGTACCCGAGTCTTACGTCTCCCCGGACCAGAGGATGTATCAACCAGGCATGGCCGCGAGGGTTGCTGTTGGTAGCAAGAAGAGACGCAGGGAACGCTTCTCGGAGGGCCCGGGGGGCTTCTGAGACGCCCCGCCGCCCTCTGAGAAGACCCGGCCCCTCGCACTCCGCCCCCGGGCGCGCCGCCGACAGGAGCTGCAGGAGATCCTGGAGGGCATGGACGTGAACGGCAACGGCGCCGTCGAGTACACGGAGCTCTCTCGGAGGTTGATAGGCCTCCTGCCCCGACACGTCGGTCAGCGAACTGGCCGTTCTCGGTTCGCGAGAGGGCGTCGCGGCCGCCGTTTTTGCGAGTCCAGGCCCGTCGGTTTCGGTCCTAGGCCGTTTTCACTAAAGGGAGGTTTACTTGAGGGAGGTTTGTCCACCACCGAAAAACACGGCATAAGCATACGTTTCCGGAGCTCCGCGTCGATTTCTTGGATCGGCGCTGGGCCCCGCTGGCGGCGCCTCTGGCGCCGCCCCTGGCGCGCCCCACGCGTCAGGAAGAGGGGCCCAGAGGCCGATTCAAAAAATCCGCCCTGACCTCTGAGAAAGTAACCCCAGGAAGCATTTAAGAACCCCCCCCCCACCCCCCCACCCCCCCTTCCGGCAAATCGAATAAAAATGCGGTGCTAAGATATCGCTGGGGGGGTTCTTAAATGCTTCCTGGGGTTATGCTCGTGCACTTTGGAAGCGCACGGGTCCTGAGGGGAGGTCTGTCCGCCGCTGACTCGCAGCCTCCACGAAGACACGGATCGCGACGGACGTTTTGGTTTGTTCTTCTGCGCCCGGCCTCCCGGGCCCTCGCCAGGCCCGGGGTCGGTCAAGAAACGCCTCAGGATCAACAACAAGTCCGGCATGTCCCTTCACAGGAGGAAAGTCCAAAAATAGCCAAAAATAGTTTGGGGACGATATATATATATATATATATATACACATATATATACATATATATATATATATATATATATACAAAGCTGCATAGGCGCTTCGCGCCATGCATCTTGTTCCTTGAAGCTTTGGATCGGCTGGCTTCTCGCGGTATCCTGCGGTCCCATCGAGGGGTCCTCGCGGGCTCGCATTGCGAATGTGCAGAGGTTGCGGAGGGGGAGTGGGAGAACTTGGTGTTCGAAGCAACGAAAGGGGCAAATGGAATGCAAGAAAAGGACTTCAGAGGGAAACTTATCGAATCCCGGGTTCGCAACCAAATTTCTTAAAAAAGGGTGCGAACCCAGGATTCTGACCAGAATGCAGCTGTATACTGCAAAGTATGAGGCAGGGGGGGCGCGGGGAGGCGTGCTGACGCGACTTTGGGACAGGCAGGCTCTACGAACGTTATGTATGGGCTTCGTTCGGAAGACGTGTCGAAACGCTCCCTGGCACGTCTGTAACCCGGTGTGGAGCGCTCAAACGTTCCGACTTGGGCCCCGTGGAATCGCTTGGAGGCTTCTTGAGCACTCTTGGGTGGTCTTGTGGGCATCTGCGGCTGTCTCGGAGGTCAGGAGAGCCGAACATGCGAGAAAGAAAAAAAAACCTTGGGGCTCTCTGGGGCCGTCTTGGGCACCCCTTGGGCCGTGTCGGGGCTGTCTGGGGCCGTCTTGGGCACCCCTTGGGCCGTGTCGGGGCTGTCTTGGGCCGGTTTCGGACTCGCTTGGAGGCCTCTTGAGCCGTCTGGCATCGGTCTTGTGGGCGTCTTCGGCCGTCTTGGCACGTCGGAACAGTGAACATGCAAAGAAGCAAAAATCTTAGAAAAACCATAGGAAATCACTGATTTTCATCTCTTGGGGGCTTCTTCGGAGGACTCTGGACGGCTCTTGGGACCCTCTTGGGCCTTCGTAGGAGCCTCGAGAAAGCCTCTGGGGAGGTCCAAGGAGCCTCGCGTGTCCTCTCACCTTCCTCTTTGGACGGAGAGCGCTAATTTTCGCGCTCGGAGGCTGCGATCCTCGTGAGGGGTCCCGTTTCCGGAAGTCCCGGTTGGGGAGGATCCTATTTCGGGGGGGGGGGGGTCCCACCCCCCAGGATTATAAAGGCCTTCTTCGGAGAACTCGTGGAGGTTCTTAGAGGCCTTGTGGGGCGTCGTGGGGGAACTTCGTGAATGCTTCTTGGCGGCTCTTGGGCGCCTCGTGGCACGTCTGGGGAGCCGTTGAGGAGTCTTGGAGCTTCGTGTGGGCGTCTGGGTGCAGAGTCCTTGAAATCATAAGCCTTTTGCGCGCCTGGTGGCCCTTCTTGTGGCCTCCTGGAAGGGGCTTGGGGCCTCGCGTGGCCGTGTGGGAGCCGAGCGCGTTGCAATTGTATGTTTTTTCCCTTTTAAGCTCTGTCTGAAGCTTATCTTGGGGCTCTCTGGGGGTGCCGTTTCTGAAGCCCGTCTTGGGGCTCTCTGGGGCCGTCTGGGGCACCCCTTGGGCCGTGTCGGGGCTGTCTTGGGCCGGTTTCGGACTCGCTTGGAGGCCTCTTGAGCCGTCTGGCATCGGTCTTGTGGGCGTCTTCGGCCGTCTTGGCACGTCGGAACAGTGAACATGCAAAGAAGCAAAAATCTTAGAAAAACCATGGGAAATCATGGGGGTGCGTGCACATTAATGACTTAGCGGATTTGGGATGTCGGTCTCATCACCTCATCGTGTCACTCAGTAGTCGTCTGGGCTCGAGAGTTTTCGCCGCATGCAGGGTGTGGCGGGAGCGTTCCTCGCCTTCCTAACCTTCGTGGTGCGGGACCATTTCGCGCGACGGCCGCCCTGGGACGGCGGCGACGCCGACTGGTGCCGCTCGGAGGCTCTGGCACCGCCTCCCGCCCCGCCTGCGCGGGACGACGCTGTCTGCCCTGTGAGCTGGGTCCACCCTGGCATCGTGGAGGAGATCGCGCAGCAGCTCGCCGCTGATCGCTGCGTGTGCGAGGTTCAGTGCAACAGCGGGGCGAGGGACTTCGCCCTTTTCGCGGGCGGCGTGGGCTTCTTCGGCTTCGGGCAGCTCATCCACGGGGTGACTTTCTTCGGCAAGTGCTGCTGCTGTCGGCGGGATGGCGCTCGCGGTGGCGCCGCGGGCCGTGCGACTCGGGGCCACAGGCGAGCGTCTTACGGTGCGGGAGTTCTTGAATGAGCTCCTCCCTGGCCGCCTCGTGGCGGTCAGGTACCCAGGAGAGGACCTCTACCACGAGAGGGTGGTCCTCGGCCCGTGCGCTCGCGACTCACTCGGCCGAGTGAGTCGCTGGGAGGTGCTGACGCCCGACCACGACAAATACGACGAAGACATGACCATGGAGGGCGACGAGGGCGAAGCCATCGTCCTCCTGGACGACATGGGGAATTGTCCAGCTGGCCTGCGAGGTAAATTTTACCGCTTTGCTGGAGACCGCTATCCAAGCAGCCAGCAGATCGTGGACTGGGCCAGGGCCCAGGTCGAGCAGATCAGGGCCGCTGGTGAGGAGCCGCTGTCGATGACTCACTACATCGACCACGAGGGCTCTCGCCAGGCGCTGGCTGGCGTGGGCAGGCGGCTCCGCCTGGGCGGTCCCGCGCCCTTGCCTGCGGGGGGGCCCGAGGCCCCTGGAGGCGCGGCCGCCGCTGGCGGCCTCGTGGTCGTGGACGGCGACGCCGACGGCGCTGGGGCTCCCGCGGGGCCCGCTGGCGCGGTCGGCCTGGGCGCTGTGCGCGACGCTACCGGGGACCCCTTCGGTCCCCTGCGTGCGCGCGAGGAGCCCGCCGAGGGTCGTGTCTGGATTGTGTGCGAGAACTCCGACGAGCACGAGACCCTCGGGCTGGAGGTCACGTTGAGGCCTGGCGACATCGCCATCACCAGCCACGACGGATTGGTGCATCGGCACGGCGGGTTCTTGAGGATTCGCTCGGTGCCTTCCAGCGAGTGCGTCGACTTCGCTGCCCGCCTAAAGGCTCGCTACGCGTCGACTGCTGCTGAGCCGCCTGCTGGAGCCTTGGCGATCGGCGGCACGAAGACTCCTCCCGTCGAGGTCGACGACGACGTCAGGACCTTGTGGGTCGACTACGGCGAGTCTGGGAACCGTTTCAAGTCCTTCAAGAGGGCCGTGCAGGAGAGCCGCGAGGAGCCCATCACGGCCGTGGAGGTGCAGGGCCCGCCTGGCACGCTCCACCTCGCTCGGTTCATCGAGCGGCACGGCGGGGGCCCGCGGCGCTGGTGGCAGGGCTTCGCGCGGGGCCACGGCATCAGCAAGACGGACAGGGTCTACCACGAGATGACGAACCTCACGGAGAGCCTGAAGTTGTTCGGCGAGTACGACCAGCTCAACTTGGGTGCCTCCGCGGGCATCGAGAAGTTGACGAGACGCATCTGCGGAGTGATCGACGCCTACGCGACAGGCGGGGGGGTCCCGAGCTGGAAGATGGCAGGCGTCTACGAGGGCGAGGCCAACTCGATCGACGCCATCGCCCCCGCCTTGCGCAAGTGGGGCCTGGCCAAGGTGAAGGACCAGAACGAGCTGGAGCAGGCTCGTTTGCGCCATCCGCGGCCCGCGGACGGCGCCGACCCGAGCGCCGCCCCGTCGGGCGCTGCGGGCCGTGGCGACGGCGGCCGTGGCCGCGGTGCTGGGGCAGGGCGGGGGGGCCGCGGCAGAGGCGATGCGGCCGCCCCTGATGGCGGGTGACCTAGACGACGGGTCGCGGATTGGCCCTCCATGCCGCGGCCCGCTGAGAGTGGGGGATTTTCGGGCGGGAGGACGCCCCAAGCTTTTTGACCAGTTCCCGATCGCGCTGCCGCCTTTGGAGTCTGCGCCGACTTCGGGAGGGCGTCGGTCGAAGAGATACCGCAGACGTGACCACGTGCGGCAACTCGTCGAGGGCGCTTCGAATGCACTTAATTGGCTTGCTAAGACCGACGACCACCGACTTCCTGATCTCCGCGGGCGGCCTCAACATGTTTCGGAGCTCGGCCAGTGCCAGGTGACCCGCGAGCGTGACGAGGTGCTGTCCTACGTGGAGCAGTTGGCTGCGCTCCAGGTGCGCGACGGTGGCCATGAGTACTACTTGCCGCCAGAAGTGACCCTTCGGGAGCTGCTCTGTGACAAGGCGTCTGGCTACAGGATGGACGCCTCTATGACTACGCTCGCGCCGTACCAGCGAGGTCGGGTCCCCCTGCCTGAGAAGCGAGATGCGGTGTCGTCCGTCTTCGACCTGGTGGGGGATCGTGGCCGCGCATACCTGGAGGGTGCAGGGGAGCGCATGCTCGATCCCAGTGCTAGTGACACG